ATATTTCTACTCACATTAAGTATCATGTGATTGCGCTGTAATAAACCAATAGCGGGAGGACCGACGCACGACGAGTGAATGATGGGACCCTTACCATTCGTGGTGAAAAGTTTCCATCGCGGAACTGCGGCGGCTTGGTTTCGTCGTGCATCCATCTGTCATCCACCTCGTCGGTTCTTACGGGGTCTTCTCGCTTTGCCATCCTACGCCTACGACATATGCAGCTGTAAGTCCATCTCTACCGTCAACTGCTACTCTCTTCACTCTACTGCTGACGAAGTAGAGCTCGATGCGTTTCAGAACCAACTTGAAAAGATCAACAACAACGAAAAGTCCTTCCACGAATTCGTTGTCGTAGATTTCAACGCTAGGCTTGGCGTAGCACAAGAGGAGGAGTTAAGAATGAAAAGTTCGGAATGGGGGATCGGAACGAGAACGGAAACCGTCTAGCTGGACTTCTGTTCGCGGCTCCACTCATTCATTGATACTCTCCTCTAGAAGAATGAACATCGCCGCTGGACATGGGAGTCTACAAACGGTACAAACTATGTTAAGCTGGATCACAATCAACAAACAGAAAGTAGTGCTCACTAGATGATGTGGTACCATCTTTCTGCAGTGGTTCTGATCATCGACTCTTTCACGCAATGATCAGATTCAGTCACAGGCTGGAAAAGCGTCGCGCAACATCGCGCAGAGCTCGAAGCATGTCGTATACGATGGAAATAATCGGAATGATGCTTTGTCCCGATATCACTGGCAGGTCTTGGATGACCTGACCGAAGACTAGGTTCGGGGTCTTACTTGTGCTAAACAGGAAAAGCTTCGAGTGAATATCTCCGCTCGCATTTCAGATGCGACGACGTATCTTTTTAGGGCAAGGAGAAACTTGAAGTTAGACGAGAACGCCACACATCTTGAAAGGCTGCAGCGAATATCAGCTGCAGACAAGCAATGCAGCGAGACCATCAGCTGCAGGGAGACGAGATTACTGGAGGCAGCCTCGAACATAACTGTATCACCTGTATCACCTGTCGTCCCGTTGATCATCGATTTCCTCGAGCGGGCGCCAGTAACGTCTCTATCCGTCCCTGTCATGGGCCAGAGTGGTCCAGTGAATCGTCTTTGCTTCAGGGACACGAAGTCCAACATTCCTTTCGTTCAGAGCTTTCGTGAAAAAGTGTGACCATCTCGTTAGCGGCCGTTCTGGAGTTCGTTTGGTGTCCCGAGAGATCCAGTCAGTAACCGCCCTGGTCCAGCGGTCAACACTGCATCGCATAACGTGTCCGGCCCACCTGATCTTCCATTTCTTGGCGTAATCAACGGCATCATTGATCTTCGTTCGGTGACGGAGCTCGAAACTCCGGATTCCCTTCTGCACTTGCTTGTATAGGAAAATCCCGAGCATCGTCCTTTCCAAAGCGCGTTGAGTAACGCTGACAGCATGCCCATCCTGCTTTCGTAGAGTCCAAGTCTCCGAGGCGTACGTCAGAGCGGGAAGGACAGCGGTGTCCAAAAGGTATGGAGCTGGGTGCTCTTTCCCTCGATATTTTTAAATGCTCCCCACGCGACGCGTTTTCTTCTGCGCAGCTCCGGAGCTAGGTCTTTCATCATGTTGACTTCCGACCTAGATACACATAGCTAGCATTCGGAGATATTCATTCCGTTTAACGTGGAAGGAGCATCAGGTACCAGTCCGTTTTTCATGAACATCGTCTTCGTTAAGTTCAGTCTCAAGCCGATATTTCCACAAGACCGTCAAACTCGGCCAGCATTCGTTCCGCTTGCTCGATGTTCGGTGTTATAAGCACGATGTCGTCTGCAAAGGGGAGGTGATGTAAGTAGCGGCCGTCTAACTTCATCTCACGTTTCCCACTCCAATGAAGCATGATATTCTCGAGAGCGCACTGAAAAGTTTGGACGAAATGGTATCGCCCTGCAGGACACCTCTTTTCACGTTGATAATGACTTCCTTGCAGAATGGTTCAATCCCGGTCGTGAAGTTATCCTAGAGCTCACGAAGCATCCTATAAAGGGTGGCTACAAAGTATGGTCCGGTATTTATTCGCATATAAAGAAAATAGGACACATTTCTTCAAGAATTTTCGCTGAATGGTATGTCTAAGATGAAGTAACATTTATTCGAGGTTCAAAATGATCGCCTTTGTCCAGAATACAAGCTTCCAATCTCTTCGTAAAGGCTCCCATGGTGGGCCGCAAGTAGCCGACATCAATTTTCTGCCATTCCCTCTGAAGAGCTGCTTTAAGACTGTCCAAACTGCGGTGGGGTGGAAAAGACACTTTCTGCTGCATATAGCTCCAAACGGAGTAGTCCATTGGATTGAGGTCTGGGGAGTTAGATGGCCACATGTCTTTGTCCCAGAATCCAGGAAAATGATGTCGACAGAAGGAAATCGTGGATTTCTACCCAAGTGCTGGTGCCCAGTCTTGTTGCAAGATAGAGTTTCGTTCTCCAAAGTGATTTCGGGCCCATGACAACAGTGTGTTCCTTAAAATAACATTCTGGTAAGTTTCGGAGTTGATTTTGACGTTTTTAGCAACAAAAACGAGAGGTGTTTTGTCTTCTGATGTTATTCCGGCCCACACCAACACAGACTTCGGGAACAGGCTCCTGGTTTTTACGCCTCGTCTTCTGGAGTTTTTCTCTGCATGAGGTAGCAACTGCCGCTGGTTTTGGCTGTTGTATGCAACCTCGACCGTAAAGATTTTCTCGTCTGTCCAGACGATGAAAATCTTTACGGTCGATGAAGATGTCCGAGAGGCGGCCCGCACGAACTGCTGCTAGAAGCTTCTGACATTTTTCAGTCTGTTCTTCTTTGCCGCCTCGCTGGGCATCTGGCCTCGGAAGAAGCGGTAACCATGTAAATCTAGTTCACATTTCACAATGTCTTGAACACTTCTTCGTGAGATATGCGAATCCGAAGCAATTTTGTTCATGCTGACCTCATCTTTGCGTGAGATCCTCTTCTTGATCACCTTCCAAATCCGTGGAACATCGACAGTTCTTGGACGCCCTGATTTTGGAAGTCCCAGTTGATGAAAGTCTTAGGGCTTCAGGGCTTCTTTTCCGAAACTTCATAGCTCTCTCTCCACGCACTGAGAAGCGGAATCTAGCCCGGGGTAGACGATGATCCGATCCCGTATAGAACTTCAGAACACCAGCGATGCCAGTCAGGCAAAATCTCCGATTTAAGATGATGTGGTCTATCTCATAATATATCTATCCACCAGGTGACTTACATGTCTATCGCAAATTAAAGGGCTTCAGGTGTTGTGAGTTATCATGCGAGGGATTGAGTTGTGGATGGTGTGGGTCGACATGATAAACTCGGACAGCCATTCACCCTGCTCATTCTGAGTCCCGATGTGGAGCTCTTCAGCCGTTCCTCTGGGGCCAGTCTTGGCGTTAAAATCACCGACGATGGCCTTGAAGAAAGTGTGATCTTCTCTGTAGAGCCTCTCCAGATCCATATAAAACGATTCCAACTCCTCTTCTTCGTAGCTCGATGTTGGTGCGTAAGCAACGAAGATGGTCAGAGCTGGGATTGAGCCACATCTTCTTAATCGCAAACGTCCGATTCGGGTTGTTAAGCTTTCGTACGAATCGATGTTCATGGCCAAGTGCGTATTGACGAGGACACCTACGCCGCCGACGCCTCTACTGTCGCATGTTCCAGGGAACACTTCTTCTCCAGTCTCAAATACAGCGTGCAGCGGACGATGCCTTCTCGTCTCGATCAGTCCGATGACGTCGTACTTGATCTTCCTAGCTTGCATCATCAGGTCTTCTATACACGCTTCCGATGCAAGCGCCCGTGCGTTGAAAGTACAGATCGCCATCTTAGTCCTTTCCCCTTTTGGGCAGCCTGTTTTGGCCCTGAGATTTTAGCAGCCTCTCACGAGCGGTCCTACCCAACGCTGCCGTATTGGGGGCTCCCTCAGGTTGAGGGGAATGAGGCCCATTTCTATTACTGTTTTTGGCGTGAAGATACCCAACGTGCGGCTTGCCAGGCTTGACGTGGGGGCTATTGATTCCGGGGGCTTGCCAGGCTATCCCGAATTGGACAAGGGGCTTTGTTTTTGGAGGCGGCCCCGAATCGCCTCCCAGATACTTCCCAGCGTGACTTGTTCGTCACTTGAATGCGAGCTTTTGGCCGAGTCGATGGGCAGGATACCAACTGCACCCACAGACTCTCCACACACGTATGCGTGGATCGCCTGCGAGGAACAGAGGGTATATCGACCCAGCACAGCAGAATCAAGGAGTCCATCCCCTGAATCCACCTGCGTCTCTGGGCAAGTACCGGTGATTTTGGTCGGCGATTTATTCCCCTATCCGCCACCTGGGGACACCCTACGTAACAAACACCCTCTTCACTAACAAAGAGAGGATAACACGGACAAATACAAATCATTCGCTCCATTGGCACTTTGTGGTACTGTAATGTCATCTCGAGACCTCAGTTGGGCTGCGCCGAGCGCAAATGGGCGGGGTGACCTACCTTCGACGGACGCGCGCAACGGATGTTTCCCGTCTTTTTACCTACCGAGGCCTAGCGTTGTCATGGAGGAGGTGCACAAGTTTGTCTAAACCGCTTTTCTCGAACGGCTTGTGCAATTTTCTACAGCCGATCAGTGTAAAAGGGAGTGGTGACGGTGTGGCTTGCTTGATCAACTCGTAGCACAGCATTCCTTTGAATCTCAGATGCAGGAAAGGAGAAACAAAAGCGGGAGCCAGACGCGCCGTCTGGCTCTCGCGTTTTCCTCGCGGGAATCAGACGGCGCGGTGCTTGTTAGCTTCGCGGGGAATTCAGCTTCATCTCCAGTGACTAGGACCTCCAGAAACTTTTCGCGATGTGAGCGAAGGACAGACTGACAAATAGATACCCGGGAGTACCTCATGCTATCGGTCAAGACATGAGGTATCCATCAAGTCAGCGCTTTTCTGTGAGCGAAGGCTAGAAGGAGACAGCGACCGTTCATTGAGCAACCCAAGTCTTGTAGCAAGTTTGTGGTGTTAACTTCCGCATCCTCTTTGATGGTGTCGACAATGACGGAGTCGTCGACGGCGAAGGGGCGTCCAGACCGAGGCATGTTTTCGAAGCCCGCGTCTCCTTCCTTGAAGCGAGCGAACCTGCGATGGATGTGGTGCCCTCCCTCCAATGCGCTGTTGATGTTGTGGACTGTTGCTGTTGCTCCAATGCCGCGGCGCCTTTCATAGATGATGGTTCGAGATAGCCTTGTTAAATTGACATCGTGTATAAACTCAGGTAGGCGCACGTGCCCTTACATACAAAAGTATTCGGCCAAATGCTTCTTCACTTTCCTGCCGTAACTTCTTTCCTAATGGATCCAATCATGCGAAATTTCGGTGTGTTGCATGAGTGTATTGTGAATATTTACCACTATTAACCTGCAATGTGATCATGTTCCAGATATTCCAAAGAGCATGAACCCAAAAACAACTGGAAATGGGGACACTGGTACTTTTGAGAATTCTTTTCTTTTTGTCATGTCCAAAGGATACGAGCGCTAATGCCGAACACAATAGATGAGAAAAACGCACTCAACGTGCGAAAAACTGCAGACGTCGCTAACTTTGCCTTTAGCGAAGTTCACTACCACAACAACTCCTTCCTCTTAGTTGTGTGGATATTGCTGCTTTACAGTCAAATAATGTTGGATAGTGTGAAATATGTCTCTGTTGAAAATATCAAAATTTCGCGCGATCTGCTACACTAAGAAAAGTTACGGGCGAACAAGCGTTTGCCGAATACTTTTGAGCGCTACTGTACCTCTGATGGAGAGGTTCTTGTAATGTTCTACAATTATCACGATTTTGAAACCAACTATAGAAGGATGGAAGGCTTGGTTGTTTTGGGCGAGTATAGCCTCTAACCACTTTTTCTCCACTTTCTAGAACGTTTCTGAAGAGAGTTATGAAGTTTTGATCTGAGCACAGCCCACTTTGGAGTCAATCCCGCCCATTTCGAGGATCTGGCCACATTTGCTCCATTACCTCTAATCACTTTTTTCCTGCATTTTAGAGTGTTTCCAAACGAAGTTTTCATTTTCGAGAGGCAGCTTTCATCTCAACGAACATCCCTCCCGCAGTGGGCGGGGCTTCGCTAAGCCTACGCGTGCCTAGCCCTTATAAGGCCTTGCCCGCTTTTTTTACTTTTTTCCTAGTGTTCACGCCTTCGTTGAATCGAGTTATGAATCTCTGTGGGAAGCCCGCCCACTGCGAGAACCCTCACCACCGGTTAGTTTCCCTTATTTCAATTGTTGACCCACTCCCACCTTTGCGCATTTTTTCCCGGCTTCTGGTTCGTTATGAGCACATGTGGGCGGAGCTTCGCCAGGCCAATATGTGCTCTGTCGCACTTACCCTATGCTCGACCCATTCCAAACTTGACCCGACTTCCCAGTTGTTTCTTCAGGCCATATCGAATATCGTAAAAACAAACAAACAAACAGACAGGCAGACAGAGCGCTTTATTCATAGTAAGGATAGATCATGGATATAGTTCAAAAATCGAAAATCCCGCACTTTTCAAAAAAGCCTATCAAGACTTTCCGATCAACCTCATACTACTGCTCAAATGAGAGCCTTCATGCTTTTCTCACAGCTTTGAGCACGTTTTCATTTCGATAACACGAACATGAACATCATCATAGTTTTACCCGCCATACATTATCGATTGCTCCACAAAGTTCTGTACAATGGATTACTGTTGAGATACACAATTTTCTTTTGCTACCAATCATCACACACCAATCACAGAGCCCACAGCCGAAACATTTATGCAGTTTTAAGATGGTGCAGAATAATCTAGACAAACAACGAACAAATAGCGACAAAGTGACCAAAGTGGCACCTAAAAAGTGCGCAAAAATGATTTTGAATAACACTATGCAACGCGTTTCAAGTTGAAACTGAAAAGCTCCATGTGTAGAATACGTTGCCACCTGGAACGCAACCAAAAAAAATCAACCGCACGCCTAAAACATCCAGAATATTAGTAATGCTGAAGCGCCATTAAGAAAATGCCTGCAGTGAATCACTTCCTGCAGAGGATTGCAGAAAGACGCGCACTGCAGCCTAACACTCCAATAAAATTACATCGTGGCACAAGCTTCATATGACGACGCACTACTTTTATTGAGAGAAGTATCAGCAAATAGTTATAAAAAGGTCATACGAGACAAAAACAGGTGTTCCAGGGGTTGACACAACAATATAACAGGTACTGATGAGCAAATGAGCGACCACTAACACATGGGAAATGCTTGTTTAGACTGATGTAAACATAGTGCGACAGTTTTTGTATGCTGATTCATGGCGAACGAAGCATATTTAGACATTTTTTTCGATAATCGAGGAACTTATGCCTTGAAAATTTTGATGACATCAAGGATTGAGGCACGGCAGAGAGGGCAAAGACCCGATGAACGGTATGTTTGCATTGCGCATTCGTAACACATGCATGAATGACCACATTTGTAAAGAGCGCTGTTCACTTTAGCTGACATGCATACCTACAAAAATAGGAGCTGATTAAGGTTATTAAAGAGAAAAGCGGAAGCAGAACAGACAAACGTACCGTGCACTCATCAATTTCGCCTTCTCGAGAAGCACCGTCATTCTTACTTGACTCATGGCTTTCAGCTGAAGGTAACCTTCCAACATGCATAAAGCTGGTGCCCAAATTCTGGAGATTTGGAAATGAAGAGTGAGATGATGAAGGAGAATCCTGTGCTGTATCCGACTGTCTCGTGTGCAATAAATCCTGTAAGATTTAACCCACTTCAAAGATAAGAACATGCCTATTAACGATTATTTGCACGTCGTGCCCACAACGAACAACAAGACGAACTTATAACAAACCAAAGCAACACTAGCGTTTTAAAGTTGCGATAGACCGGTGATCGATGCGCCCACTGCTTGTAACACCAGTAGCATCAAATGAGGCAGTAAGGGTCTGACTATGTTAGAACATCCAGTCTCGACATGGAAAAAATATTGTGTTGTTCGGAACTAATTGCGATTTATGAAAACGATTCTGAAAACGCTTGTTTTAGTAGGTTGAGTAGTAAATAATGATTGCCTTTTTCAAACAATGCCAATATTGCCGAGCGGGTTTAAACTTCCTTACTCATGTTCTACGCCGTTACCCTGATGAGTTCAGTGTAGGAAACTTAGTAGACAAAGCCTCACCAAATATTTGTGCCGCAGAAGGACCGGACGCCTAAGAGAATAAATGACGCGTTGTCGTTGGTTCCGAAAGCTTCACGAAGGCAACTACAGTCTTGAAAATCAAACATGATGGAACGCCCACAATTTGATCGGATCGAGAAGCTCATACAAAGCAATCCATCCGTATGCTACTACCTGCTGCTGCCCTTCCAAAATAACATGAGCCCTATGGAGAAATCGTATAAGCTGGGCAGATGGATCCCACTCAAACTGAATAAGGCTGCCAAGGTTTGCAGTCCAGAAGTCGCCGTATCGACTGGCTCGGCAAGATCCTTACTGGGGACGAGAGTCGGAGAGTCTGTGTAAACCATGGACGGAAGCGTTAGTAGTTGGATGCAGAACAATAGCTATTTCCATTTCCAAAGGGTTGACTCCATCCAGCAAGTTCATGCTCTGCGTCTGGCGAAGCGTATGAGGTCTGGATCACTACGACCTTCTAGATAACAGTCCTACCGTTGACGCACCCACCTACTGTTTGCAGCTGCGTAGAAATGCTGCGGAAATCGCAAAACTGAAGTACTCTATTGAGGTTTTCCTACTTCACAACAACATTTCCTATCACAAACTAGGCTCTGAAGTTCTCCCTCACTCAAAGTATTCTCCTGACCTCGCGTCAACCAACCGTCGCTTGTTTTCCTCGCTTACTCCCTTTCAGGGGAACAATAGCTATGTTGATCGCGAGCACCTCAGGATGGACCTCAGTCGTTCTTCGCATCGGGGATAGCACAGCTTTCATGGGAAAGTATCCATTCACTAGTCAACCGATGAAGGACAGCAGAAAGATTAGGTAAATACTGCATTCATTGAAGTAGGTTGATCTGAGCACCGCCCACTTTGGTGTCAATCCCGCCCATTTCGAGGATCTGGCCACATTTGCTCTATTACCTCTAATCACTTTTTTCCTGCATTCTAGAGTGTTTCCAAAAGAAGTTACGTTCATTTTCGAGAGGCAGCTTTCATCTCAACGAATATCCCTCCCGCAGTGGGCGGGGCTTCGCTGAGCCTACGCGTGCCTAGCCCTTATAAGGCCTTGCTCGCTCTTTTTACTTTTTTCCTAATGTCCACGCCTTCGTTGAATCGAGTTATGAATCTCTCTGAGAAGCCCGCCCACTGCGTCAACCAACCATCGCTTGTTTTCCTCGCTTACTCCCTTTGAGGGGAACAAGAGCTATGTTGTTCGCGAGCACCTCAGGATGGACCTCATTCGTTCTTCGCGTCGGAGATAGCACAGCTTTTATGGGAAAGTATCCATCCACTAGTCAACCGATGAAGGTTAGTTTCAGAAAGACTAGGTAAATACTGCATTTATTCAAGTAGGTTGTCGAAAAAGTTGTATAATTTTGACTATCGCTATCGGAACCGCACGTTATTTATTACTCCACCTAATGGAAGAACCTCTTCTTCATTGATATTTATTACAGGCACATACACTTTCTTCGATAAGATGAGAACAAATTTCATTCCCGCTTTTGATTTTAGGATCAGTTTGATCATGAAAGTCAGATAGAGCATCTTCGGTACATTTAATTTTTCCATTTCTATCGTGGCAAAGAGCTGCTAATGTTTTTTTCGATACTTGTGAAAATAATAATGTAAATGTCTTATCACAGATCATATGCGAAAATTGGTTAGAAAAGTTTCGTTTTGGCAATATTCACTACACGGTCGGATGATCTTTCAATGGCATCGACCGAAGTTGACCGTCATGTAATTGTATGAAATTTGCTGAGAAGTCTAATAGGGATAGTTAGCGAGAATATCCGAAAACTTGGGCCGGTAAAAAGCTGAATGTTCAGGTGCCACATGAGTTGAAGAGAATTCACCTGATTGCGAGTTAGTGTCTGCGATAGGCGCTTCAAACGCAAAGAGGACCCATTTCTGAAGCGAATTATAGTTGCTGATAAAAACCGGAATGTTTACGATAATGTTACTCTCAAACGATCATGGAAAGTAGTCACTCTCAAATGATCATGATCAGTACCGCATGAACCTGTCCAAACGGGGTCCGAAGCTGATCCTCATTGGAACAAGGCCACGCTATCAACTTGATAAAATCATAAGAGCTTCACATATAATAGTTTGAAGTGTTTACCAGGAGTCAGATCGTTAGCTCGAAATTCTACTTGTTAAAATTCGAGGTATACCGACTCAAGTGCTTCCATAATCCAATCTAGTATCGAATTTGGGTTCCAAATCTGCAAAACGATTCTGGGTATGGAGCTACGGGTCTATTTTTCCCAGGTGCCATATCAGTTAAGATGTGGTTACGGAATTCGGCAGCTTTTGCGTTTTCAACAGATTACAGTCATGGTACTTTTTGGATGAAGTATTGCCCTATTTATAGGTAGAAATATGCTGGTACATTTTAGCTGAAGCTTTTGTGAGCAATTCTGTCAGAACAATAGGTTAGCATCTTATGTACAAATGTGATAATGTAACACAAAATCATTGAAAAAGAAAAGCTTCTCACAATGAGAGCAATATATGAAAAGATTTACCAAGTCCAAAGAGTTTGAAGAACACCCGTAACTTTCACAGTTCCTTTCACTTTAGATGGGAATCAATATACAAGAGTTCCAAATTCCCCCGTGTCCATATTCAGGTACCCTGCTACGAACCATCCTACTATATACAGTAGCGCTCGGAAGTCTTCGGCCAAATGCTTCTTCAGTTGTTGTTTTCAGTCGCAACTCATCTTAATTGATGTAATCATGCGGAATTTCAATATGGGTAGCATGGGTGTCTTGTGAATGTCTACCACTATCAGCCTGCGATCTGATCATGTGCCAGATATCCCAATGAGCTTGAACTAAAAAACAACTGGAAATACGAATGATGGTTCTTCTGGAATTGCTCTTTTTCTGCCATGTCCAGAGTGTACGCGCTAATGCCGAACACAATAGATGAGAAAAACGCACATAAGGTGTGAACAACTACAGACGCCAATGATTTTGCATTCAGCGAAATCTGCTACTGCAACAAACACCTTGCTCCAGTTATGTGGATGATTGCGGCCCCGCAGTCAAGTAGTGTTGGATAGTGTGAAATATAATTTAGTTATACATATCAAAATTTTGCGCCATTTGCTCCACTAAGGAAAAAGTTATGAATGAAAAAGCGTAAGAGCGTTTGGTCAGACTTTTGAGCGATACTGTATAAAGCGCTCGCGTTTGTTTGTTAGTTTGTACGGAAATTACCCTGAGAAGCACCTGCAAAAGTCGGGTCAAGTTTGGGATGAGTTGGGCGTAGGACATGACCAACAGAGCACATGCTAGCTCAGCGTAGCTCTGCCCACAGAGGGTGGGGTATGCACGGCATGGGCGACGCTTGAGCAAAATGCCTGAGTTAGGCTTCAAACAGCCCAGACGACGTGAAAAAATGGGCAAGGGTGAGGGACGTGTCAAAGAGTAAAGTGAGGGAGACTCACCGAAGGAGGGCGGAGCGTTCCCGCAGTGGGCGGTACCTACCACATAAGACCATAACTCGATTCAACGGAAGCGTGGAGGTCAGAAGGAAAATAAATGAAGTGCGCAAGGCCTTACGCGTCTGGGCATGCGTAAACACGTCGAAATTCCGCCCCCAGTGGGCGGGGTGCGCATTCATGTTGGGTTCTTTTTGAAAAACTAATAACTTTGTTCAAAAACGTTCTACATCGTGGAAAGTAAGTGGTTAGAGGTTATAGAAGATATGTGGTCAAATCTCCAAAGTGAGCAGGGATTGCACTAAGGTGAGCGGGGCCAAAATCAAAAGTTCATGACTCCGTTCAAAACGTTCCAAAACGCGGGAAAAGAGTGGTCGGAGGCTAAAATAGGTCTGTAGGCAGAACCCGAAAGTGAGCGTGGTTTGCACTACGGTGGGCGGGGCTAGGATCAAAAGTTTATAATTCTGTTCGAAGATGTTCTAAAGTGGGAAAAGCGTGGTTGGAGGTAACGGAAGCAATGTGACTAAATTCCTGGAGCAGGCGGGGAGCGTACACTGAGGTTGGCGGAGCTAAGCATAAAATTCACAACGCTGTTCAAAAATGTTTTAGAACGCGGGAGAAAAGTAGTTGGAGGTAAGGGAAGAAATAAGTTCAGATACCTGATTTGACTCGAGTACGCGCAGAGGTGGGTGGGGTTAAGATCGAAAATTCATAACTATGATCTCGCGTCTAAACTTTCTAGAACGCGGAGAAAATGGTCAGGGGCATCTAAAAGAGGATTGGTCGAATTTTCATATTGGGGTCTGCACTGAGGGAGACGTTGCATGTTCAACCATCAACCACTAATAATTCTGCACAAAAGAAATATTGGGTTGTCCGAAAAGTTCGCGCCGATTTTGAACACCCTTGGTTTATCAAGTGTTTTGAAAAGATCGTTGGCATAACCTCATAGAGTCATATGTTTTCTGAAAGTTTAAGTCCTAATCTATGTATATCCCTTTTGAGGTTATGTTGATTTGCTTTGAAGTTTCTTTGTTTAGGGCTTGCGTGAAAGTGGAAGACAATCGCGTGCATTTTTGTCATCTAATGCTTTTCTTCTATCACAAAGGAAAGAGTGCAGCTCAAACCACGAGAAAGATCTGTGGCGTTTCAGGAGTGGATGCTCTACATGAAAGTACAGCTCGTAAGTGGCTTGCGAGATTTAAGCGGGGTGAATTCAACCTCGAAGTTCGGCAACGCGCAAGGAGGCCATCATCAGTTGAAAAGTATCAAATCAAAATGATGATTGAAAAGGATCGGCACATCACTACTCGTGATATAGGAGAAAATCTTAATGTCCCGGGTCAACCGTCGATGACCATTTGTTGGGACTTGGTATTGTTGAGCGCCTCGATGTCTGGGTTCCTCACATACTGAGCGAGCGCAATTTGATGGACCGCGTCTCCGTATGCGACTCGTTGCTCAAACGGAACGGAAATGAGCCGTTTCTGAAATGCATTGTAACTGGGGACGAAAAGTGGATTTTGTACAACAACGTGGAGCGGAAACGAAAGTGGAGCCTGCACAGTGAGCCACCACAAACCATTCCAAAAGCGAAAATCCACGAGCGGAAGGTTACGCTGTGCTGCTGGTGGGATTGGAAGGGAATAATCTATTATGAGCTGTTGTCGCATAACCAGACGATCACTTCGGAAAGGTACTGTAGTAGCTGGACAATTTGAGGCAGCGGTATATCAGAAGCGCCCAGAACTGGCCAATCGTAAGGGCGTAGTTTTCCACCTGGACAACGCCAGACGACACGTATCATTGGCCACTCGTCAAAAATTATTGGAGTTTGGGTGGGATGTCTTACCACATCCCGCATATAGTCCGGATATCACGGCATCAGACGACCACCTGTTTGGTCTCTGCATGACTCCTTGAGTGGAAAAATTATTCGATTCATTGAGGGACTGCAAAACTCACCTAGAGGAAATTTTCAATTCTAAGTTTACAACCTTCTATGAAAGTGGGATAAAGAAACTACCAGAAAGATGGGGAACATTGTAGAGCAGAATGGAGAATATATTGTTCAATGGATTATTTGTTCTTTCAGAAATTTTCACACAAAGTCAACCCAGAAATCGGCACGAACTTTTCGGACAACCCAATATATTGAGCGGGATGCCCTCAAAACGGTTAGACGTTCAAATCTAGAGGGAGCTATCTTATTCTGATGATCTGACACAGCGCTGAATGACTCTCTCGAGGATGAGCTGTCGCGGAGGCGACTTATGGTGTTGCGATCGCTAACTTGGAAGTCCAGATCGTGAGACATAAACTACGAAAGAGACATACGCTTACACATGGCTTTAAATGGTAAGAAAAAATGTACATGGAGAGGCTGGATTTGATAAAGTGAAATTTGGACACCTTCACCGCCGAAATTGCTTCATGGTCCTTGAACGAGCTCCATGAGTCGACAATCACCAGGGTTGAAGGCGACTCTGTTGTTCTAACGCACGATCTAACCCAGCATAAGTTCTTTGCTCATCATGTGGGTTGTACTAGACCTGACGTCCAAGTTCGAAGCGCGAAAAGAGCGAAGCCTTCGAAACTCTCCCCTGCTGGACTCGAGCGGCACCCATATAGGTCAGTGTATATGACTTTCCGGTGGTCCTCAAATATGGAGGGCCGTAGCTAGTCTGTATGGTGACTGTGCAACTGTTCGTTTCACAATTGGCTGTTCCTCACTTCACATGACACGTGGAGAAAACGGGCGCGTAACTTTTTCCCCAGAATCGTTTCGCAGATTCGGAATCCAGATTTGAGATCAGCGAATGAAGCACTTACGTCGGTATACATCTCGTCTTAAATGGCCACTACGACCTGGTTCCTTCCCTTGTAAAACGAGTCAAGTCCACCTACTTTTTTGACGACTCGGCAAAAACCTTTGAAGTTTGATCGAAAATCAATGCTGGATCGACCATGTGGCCCTAATCTGTTTCCGCCCAAATACCACTTATTTCGGTCGTTTAAAATTCCTTGAATGAAGAATTTTTTGATTTCGAAAATGAAGAAATCAAGTTCATGACGTCCAATTTGTTGCCAACAAAAAACAGAAGATCTGTGGCAGAGGAACTATGAAATTACCAGAAGGACGCTAAAATGAAGAATACAGTTCATGCGGCAGTCGCTTCATTTTAGCTATCACCCTCAAAAAATGAAAATCACTTCCGTACAACATGATATAATACACTGACTAAAAATTTGTACACATACAAGTCTTGGAGTCAGCGTCGAAGGACAAGAGAGGTCCGTTGGTGCCTCGGTAAGAATATCGTCAATGGTGTGACGGAGCAACTCATCTGCATTCGTTCGCGGCGGAAGAGCTCGACGACACTCATAAACTGAAACGAATGATGCCTTGTGAAGCGAGAATAAAACCTCAGTAATAAATGAAGACTATAAATATAAAAGTAAATGAAATAATGCATGCAGCAAAAAAACTTGATACCGTTTCCTTCGCAATCGTCATCGAAAACATGAGGTACTGCTGTGGTTCCATTAGCTCCAGCTCGTACTTAAAATTCGCTCATCAGCGCTCAAAGAAAATTGTGGCTCAAAAAAGATTAAAAGAGCGAAGAAATTATTCGAAGTTTCAAAATTAGCAAGTGTTTTCACGCAAAGCTCTCATTGTCTCGAAATATTCCAATTCTTTGAAACTTCGATCGGCGCAAATTTGTTTATGTATAAAATAAACACTGAAAAGGAACGTAAGTCGTCTACATTCCTGAGCCCTGCAAGGCGTCAGGCATTTTGAAGATTCGCTCCCTACGTAATCCTAAATATGCTTCGAAACTAGGTCCTGCACGCAATTTCGATCAGCTCACTTCGAAGTTATTCTACTGTGTTCGAATCCCAATCGTGCATACATCGCAACTTGAAGAACAAACTTACCAGGACCATGTTGAAAAGCCGATAGAAAAGTTGAAATACTGACGAATTTTCATTTTGGTCAGTTTATCTTATAATTAATGGAGAGATGAATTTGGACTGATTATAAAGTTTCTAAACCCAAGCGTATACGTTAACGCCACATAGAGACAAGCTTCTTTACAACGGAAGGATACCAGCTCCAAGCGGTCACTGCAATGGAGCCTATGCTGCTAGACGCATCGCGGGTGCTGAATCCGAATAAGCGTTCCAACTTTGCTAAACGATTTTTCGAAGAGCTATAGAGGTGGTCGAGGTTGAGTGCTTAACAAAGACAAACACACGAGACATGGACAACTCCAACTGCGCTCACAGCGGTGACTTGGAGCAGCAGATCCATGCATGCAGCTGTGAGGGTGATGCCTCATATGCATCACTCTCACCACTGCATGCATGTATCGGCTTTTGGGAGGGATGCAATTTTCCCCTCTGCGGGGCTTTTCTTCGGGACGAAAAAACTTTTACTGCTGATTTTACCGCCCTCAGCGGCCTTCTGGGGGTGACTGGGTTCAAATCCAAACCATCCAGTACAGTCACACCCCCTTGCCCTTCTCGTACTCTGTACATTAACAGTACAGATCTGATAGTATAGCGCGAGATATTCGAGACAAAAAGTTCTTCACAATGCGAGAAACGAATGAAAAAATTCGCCAGGGAGTATTATTTCGCATTCACTTACTAGACCGAACGAAAAAAAATTGTGTAGGCGCATCCAAACCGCCTGAACGATTGCTTAAAATACCAGCAGCATGTTGAAGCAAGCGGGAGATATATTACATTAAGTAGGACAGAAATGAAATCATACAAGTGGAAGTGATAGAGTGTGAGTGGCGAATGTGCACGTAAAAGGTAGATCAAGGTTGGAGATATTACTACACGGCAAGAAGTATTTAACTGTAATAGCCTCGTAGTAGTGAATAGGAAGTTCAAGAGGTTTGATTGCTCTTGTAAAGGCTGTGCGAAGTTGATAGCTTAATCATCTGTATGGCCTGTCATCCCGCCGATCATCGAACCCCCCTAGCGGACGGCAGTAAGGCCATTATTCGTGCCTGTCGTGAGCTAGAGTGGTCCAGTGAGTCGTCCTTGAAGGACACGAGGCATAGCACTCTTTTCGTTCAGGGCTTTCTCAAAGAAAGTTGATCATTGCGTCTTAGTGTTTGAATGACGTCCCGAAGGATCCACTCCGTAATCGCTATGGTCCAATTTCTATCACCACATTGCATAAGGTGTCTGGCTCACCTGATTCGATTTCTTGTGCAACCGCATCCCTGATCCTCCTTCGTTAACGGAGCTCGGAGCTCCAGAGTCTCTCTGAACTTGCCGTATTTGCCGTAAAAGGAGATTCCAAGCGTCGTCCTTCCGATAGCGCGTTGAATGAGGCCGACAGCATGTTTAGCTGCCTTAGTAGGGTCACCACCAGGCGAACGGAGCACGAAGGACACCAATATAGAAAGGTGAGCACGGAGCCGGATGATCATTGTCTTCTTCACTAATTCCTCAACATTCTTAAGTGCTCCCCACGTCGTGCGTTTCCTTCGCTCAGCTTCGGAGCTAGGTCGTCCATCATGCTGAGCTTTCGACCAAGATGCAAGTAGCTAGATACTCAGATATATTCGTTCCGTTTAGCATAAAAGGAGCACAAGGTACTAAGTTCAGTCTTGAGCGATCTTCCCACAAGCGCTGTTAAGTACGGCCAGCATTCTTTCCGCCTGCTCGATGTTAGATGTTATAATGATTTAGTGATGATTGAAGTGAATGATTTAAGTGTTATAATGAAAGCATGATTTATCTGCAAAGCGGAGGCATTGTAAGTGGCAGCCATCGGTGTTCACTTACAAGTCTTCCCATTCCAAATGACGCACAATGTTCTCGAGAACGCTACTGGAAAAAATGGGCGAAGTCGTATCGCCCTGCCAAACCACTTCTGATTTCCTTATAGAATGGCGAAATCAGGTCCAGTTCCAGAGGCAGAGTTCATGAAGTATCCTTATATACTGAGTCAGAACACACTGCTTGTCCAGAGCTGCAATTACTGCTTCTGTCTTAACAGGATCAAAGGTCTTCTTATAACCGATGAACCGTATGTTGGACATACGGCATCTTATATACTCGTTATATTGCAATCAGCCTTGTATAATAAATAGTGTGGATGTGATCGATTGTACTGAACCCTCTCCGAAACCCTGCTTGCTTGCATGGATGTCCTTTAATTGATAACAGTCGGGACGCCCGGTTAACGCCGGGCTTCCCTCCTTCTTATGACGCCCGGCTTCGCCGGGCGGTTCTCCTTCCTGTAAGAAATTACCATGCGTAAATTACTCTTCGGACTCTCCTTTTTCCTTGAAAGCTCTACACCCTCAGTATAAGCTCCGAACTGGGATCGATTTTTTCTGTGAGCCATCTCCATTGTGTTCGGTAAGAACATCGTACAATATCGCAAAGGCGATTATTCAGAGAAAAAAGGACAGATGGGCCAAGGAAACGTACCTCCGTGAATTTTTCGTGCAATAGGAATACTTTGAACGCCCTGTGGCCAAATTGTAGATTTTCGCGCAAACCCCGCCCCTGTGAGCAAGGTCCTTACCTGCCACCTATACTAAGTGTTCCCATCCTGTCACCTGCACTCCTACCAAGTTTGAACGCTCTAGGGCCAAATTGACAATTTTCGCGCAATCCCTGCTCCCTATGGGGGGGGGGGGGCACGGGCCAGCCCCCCCCGTCAAGTGCACCCTTTCCTCTTCTCAAACCTCTAGCA